AAAATAATTTATTATATATATTTTAAAGTAATTAATAAAATAAAAGTGTCCAATACTTTTTTCCACCCCCTGTATATGGGAAAGACTAGTGTAACCCTCAACAAGCCCATCATAATAGAAGCATCAGTCTTGGATCTTAGTAAGCTTCACATGTACCACTTCTGGTATGGTTATATCAGCCGGCTTAACAAGCAGGCGTGTTCTTTTATGCCTTTCCTTTCTTGAAACAACCTGCTACTCTATCCTTTTTTACTTTCATTTTTTCTTAGCCGGCCGGCCTTTCTCATGTATTACTTTACGAAAAAATAATAAAGAGCTTTTTAGTTTGATTTTTTAAACGTGTGCGCGTGTTTATGTGTATACTATATATTCGCAAATATAAAAACAGTCACAATCCATGCTTTGGCTATATCAATATCAGAGCGAAGTTTTTTAAATCCTTTCATATTGCTTTCACGGAATTTTTCGAATTCTGATGCAGTTACGACTTCAATAGACGCAAGAGAGGGTTCTATTAAAAAATAAGTAAAAATAAATTGCACAATGAAACCTCTTATCACAATTACTAACCTTGCTTTTCTTTAAGTTGCTCAACTAACTCCATGATCCCTTCTGCAGGACTGGCTTTGAGTTCATAAAGACCATTTTTACGAGTAAGTTTCTCTTCGGTTAAACGGAGGAAAGCTTTACCAGTAAGACTTTGTTCTTATAACTTATTAATATATAGATAGATAAAAAATTCTGTAGATACAGGGGATTATTTATTTCAAAAATTTAGGATCCGCGTACTCCCTCTTTGATAGCATTAGCGTTGTTAATCGGCTTGAGTTCGACATATGTGACAAGGCCTGTTCCAATCCCGCGAGGTATTAACAATATTAGACTGGGACCGATTAACAACACTAGATAGCATCATATATTTCGCTTGCAATACTCTATGTTTCTTAGTCAAAAAGCACTTCGCATGTATCTGAAAATTTAATAAAGTTTGCCCACGATTTTTTTAACAAATTTTTTTCTTCGGGAACAATCAGAATCATGTGATTTTGGAAACCCCATAAGCATAGCGATAGAGGCGTGATTGACTATTTAATTATCTCGACCAATAATCATAAGTGGCCATTGCGTAACAGTATTGATTGCAAATTCAGACCAATATCGTTGGTCGTTTTGGTCGCCTAGTAACTGATCAACTAATCATCAGATCATTCTGTGTAAAGACGCGTTCAAACACCCACTTTACCTTAAAGCATTAAAATACCATGTCTGCAAATCTCGCATACTTCGACGAGCCACTTAAATGTTGGACTATTCACGGATACTACGAGTTTCGAAAAAAACAAAGTGATTTTAGTGGTATTTTTCATAAAGAGCATAGTTAGTTGAAGACAAATCTGGAGACAGTTGCAAATAATAAAGAAAACTATTTTAATGAACCAAGCCCAGACGATGCTTCGCAACTTGAAGGCAAGTGTATTCGCCATGACTAGTCAGGGTACTTTCTAGGTGCTCTGATGACGATTTTCTAGATCGTCGTGGCGAAATGAAATTAAAGGACACTTTCTAGGTGTTCTTGTTGACGCATCAGCCATGACTAGGCAGGGTACTTTCTAGGTGCTCTGTTGACGATTTTCTAGATCGTCATGGTGGACCTAACTTATTCTTTGTATTTTTTTCGGTATTATCTAGAACCAAATGTCTGATCCAAACGTTGCCGTCTTTTGGAACGAGATCGATCATGAAAGGGAGCTGAATATCGCGCAAGTAAGTGAATGTATTATTTCATTGTGGATTGCAGAAATTAACATATAGTTTTTTTTGACTTCTGATACAAGTATGAAGGGAGGTTACAATCTGTTAAAATGACAACTGATGGAGTCTTGAATGCAATCAGGACAACAAATGCAATACACCAACATAATCTCTTATCTTTGCTCCCGGCGGGATACAGTCCAACAGTTGGCTTGAAATCAGGCGAACGGACTGCACGGTTAGATTCCTCGCCCGAGTATACTCCATCTACACGGTTAGATTCCTCATCCGAATATGTTCCTTCGTAGGTTTACTTTATATATTACTTTTTATAATTTGCAAATTTGACATTAAATTCTTTTGTATGTATTTTTAGCGATAAACAGAGGAGGATGATGAATTTGAGTTTGTTTCAGTAGGGCGTAAAAAAGTAAAATAATGATATTAATTGTCTATCGTTGAAGCTCCGAATTTATATAGCATAAATTAAAATTAATTAATGTTTTCTTATATTGTCATAGCCCAAAAAGGCAAAGTTGAAGTCAAATGAATTGCCATCCTCTCCTCCTCCTCAATTGCCTGGGCAGTCTCCAACTGATAATCAATTACGAAGAAACGACTTCATCACAGGTGAAAACTCGAAGATGGTGGGAAATTATGTACGAAAGAAGACTACGAGACCCTTAGAGGCAGAAGATGATCATGATCGTTTTTACAAACGTCAACGTGGACAAGATGATCCAATCGAGGTATTTATATTTATATTTATTTTTAGCACGAAAACATGTATTCAAATTGACCCACGAACCTTTGATGTATGCGTAGATTGAAGAACCTTCGCTAGGTAAAATAGCACAGGAGCAAAATGGTGATGAGGAAGAACGAATGTTGAAAAGATATCATCAAGGAGGAAATACATCTCAACCATCATGTGTAGTTGACAGTACTTTTAAAAACGACGCAATAGATTATAATAATGAACTGGATCATCAAAATACATCTTCACCATCTCAACCATCATGTGCAGTTGACAGTACTTTTAAAAGCGACACAATAGATACAACGACAGATACAGCGATAGATTATGATGATGAATTGGATAAATGGGCAAAAGAAACAACTCTTCAGCGTAATGGAGAGTGGGTTATTGGTACTAAAAAGGTTAATGTGCGTGATTTGCTGACATTGTGGCAGAATGAAAAAAAGCGTCCACACAAGGAGTAAGTTATTAATTTTTTGTGAGATGTATTGGAGCAAGTAATATATGGACTTATATGATTTGGAAATAATAGCCTTGCATATTACGATATAATTGATATTACACCCGGTACCAACAGTGATTTTGTTAAAAAACGATCAAAAGATGAATTTGAAGAAATATGGATCGCCAATACCTGATATTGACAATAGTGACATCAAGGAATTAATCGTGAAAATAGTCAAGGTATTTCATGTTTGAGAAATTATTATTAAGTAGACTTGAGTAATGTCTTATTGACACGTTTTTCGTCACAGGAACCTGATTTTCAAAAGGCTGTAGAAAATAATTTCTTATCGACGAGAAATGATGATAGAAAAAAATTTACATGGGACTTTGCATACCAACTGTAAATTCCTACTTGCATTAGATTATGCAATATATTTTCTATAACTAACTTTTGATTTCCTTTTATTAGTGCTAATTCCTTTGAGCGCGGAAATGATCTTCTTAATGAGAATTTATCCGAAAGAATGTACCGTGAAGTCTTTTTCACACCAATCATGCGAAGCTTATTTCAAAAATTACGTGAGGATATGAAGGTTTTTTTGTAAGTGACAAACAGTATGCATTCTAAGATTACTTGTTATACTCTAATAAAAAATTCAATCTATTAAGTGGCGAGATATCCTTATTTGCGTCAGCGGAAGATTATGATCTAACAAAAGATGATGAGGAGGATCGCAGTAGTGGACGAAAAATCGATATTGTTTGGACAACATTGCCAAAACTTGAATTTGCTATCGGAGAAGTTAGTGGCCCGCCTAACCAACGTCAGCATCCACACTTTTTCGGAGATAAGCTTAAAATTGCAAAAATGTTAAAAGTAATGTTGAATAGAATAGTACGAGTATATGAAGGTATCGGGGAGAGTTTAAGCTTACTAAAGCTATATGGTTTACAAATTTACGGTAAGTATTTTCAATATGGATGGTAGTCTTTTATTTCTTTTGTTTTTGTTTCTGTGCATGCTTTGTTATTAACCAAATGGCTATAGATCATACTGCATTTGTTTACGAGATGACCGTGCCATATAAAGGGTTATACGTGTATAGAGAGGTTCAGCGGTTCCAATTACCAACAAACCGTAACAATGTAGCATTATTATGTCGATCTGTGCTAAACTTCCTTCTATTTAAGGTATGCACCTTTATGTGACTTTTTTGTTTAGTTTTTTGTATACTAACCGGAATGTATAATGCCTTATAGGAAATGCTTATTCAAAGCTTAGATAAATTGAATACATATATAACGGAAGCAGGTCTCCGCACACCGACTGAAAACGATAGTGCATCTCTATTTGTAACACAGATGTCATATACACCGAAAAAATAATATGCAACTATCTTTTATTAGATAAGATGTTTATATTCTAATAAAGCAAATGATTCAAATGATTGCAAACAATCAATTTTTCGCATGGTATGATGGATGGGATAATTCAATGACTCGAAATTTTGAATTATATTAGCCGAATATTTCAGATTCTATTAGTAAAAAAGTAGAAGATATTTCTGGCCTTACATATTTTCTGAAATCAATTTGAGTGTTCGTTTATTCTGATTCCTGTGATGAGATCTTAAGCTGTTTTACACACATATATATCTAATCGTCCTTTTTTTTCTGATATTCATGATATCTTAATATGATCTCAAAATTAAGTTATATAATCTTATATAACCTTAGTTTTATTATAATTTCTATGACTTATGATCATAATATTATATTCTAAAAAATTTACAGAATAAGTAAATAAAAACTAAAAAACAAAAATAATATAAATTGAAAATAATTAAAAAAATACTAATTATGAAATTGTATAAAAAAGTTATAAATTTTTCTTGATCATTAGATACAATTAAGAATACTTGCTAAAATTTTTTAGTAGCTATCTAAATTTTGTCAAAATTATAATAAACTATTAATAAATAGTATGCTAAAATTCTACCAAATTTTGAAATCTATCAAAACCAAAATTTTGCTGAAATACTAATTAATAATTAGTATATATAACTCATTAAAACTCTATTAAAATATTTTTGGAGGAATTTCAGCAAGTATTCTTAAATACAGTATAGTATTTATATTTAATATGATCTTTTATAAAATTTTTTTCTTCAATTATTGTTATAATTTAAATATTCTATAATATAGTTATTTTATTGATAATTAATTATTTAATATTTTTAATAATTTAAATTTATTTAATTTAATTATTATTTAATTATTTAAAACAAATTTGAAATTATATAACTTTTATATATGATATGTGATTTGAATATATAATTTTTACATATTAATTGTACATGTAATTTTATATATGATTTATTATTTTTGTAAATTATCTTTAAATTTTGAAATTACAAGTAGTGGATGTTTTTCTTTAAATAAGCTATTGACTTTATTATTTTTATTTATTATTTTTAGGCTATATTAATGAATTTTATTTGGTTATTTTAGCTATTTTAGTTTATATTTCATAATTGGTAATCTCATTATTATTTTATTTTATTTTATTTTATTTTATTAGATATCATTAATAAGTCTTGTTATTTACTTTTTAGTTATTAAATAATTTTTTTAATATATTTTTACTTTATTTTTCTATTTATTTTTATTTTTATTGTTGGTAATAAAGATAGTTACTGAAATTATTTTTAAAAAACTGAAATATTTAGTTTCAAAACCAAATTGATGAATTAAAACTGAATTGTCAATTAAAACTAAATTGATCAAATTAACGAATTAAAACTAAATTGTCAAATTAAAATTGAATTAACTAAATTAACAAACTAAAACTGAATTGCTAAATTAAAACTGAATTGATCAAATTGACAAATTAAAACTGAATTGCTGAATTAAAATTGCCAAATTAAAACTGAATTAATCGAATTGATGAATTAAAACCAAATTGCTGAATTAAAACTAAATTGACAAATTAAAACTGAATTGATCAAATTGATAAATTAAAATTGAATTAATAAATTAAAATCAAATTAACAAATTAAAATTGAATTGATTAAATTGATAAATTAAAATCAAATTAACAAATTAAAACTGAATTAACCAAATTGACAAATTAAAATTAAATTGTCAAATTAAAACCAAATTGACAAATTAAAACCAAATTGACTGAATTACCAAATTAAAACTGAATTAACAAATTAAAATTAAATTACTAAATTAAAACTGAATTGTTAAATTAAAATCAAATTGATAAATTAAAATTGAATTAACGAATTAAAACAAAATTACCAAATTAAAACCAAATTGATCAAATTGATAAATTAAAATCAAATTAATAAATTAAAACCAAATTGCTAAATTAAAACCAAATTAATCAAATTGATAAATTAAAACTAAATTGCTAAATTAAAACTAAATTGCTAAATTAAACTAAATTGATTGAATTAAAACTAAATTGTCAAATTAAAACCAAACTGTTAAATTATTAAATTAAATATAAAGCTAATATATTAGTTTATGCCAAAATAAATTTATATAACAATCATATAATAATATGTAACAATCACAGTTGATATTTTATTGATCTTTATATACAATTAAAAGTAATTAGATAATGATCTAGTATAATTGTTGTATGATTGATGTGTGATTAATATGTGATTAATGATTAATTAATATATAATCAATAAATAATACTAAATAAAATTTTAAGTTAAATTATTTGATTAAAATTTTATTAAATATATATAAAAAATACATATATAAATTTAACATCATTTTCTACAATTATATCTTAATTGCATAAATTCTTTAAATTTTTCTTTTTCTAATTCATCTTTATTTTTATTTTTATTTTTATTATCTTTTTTTAATAATACCAATAAAATATTAATTTTTTTATTGTTATAATGTAGTCTTGTTTATAGAATTATCTAATCTAGTACAGTACAAATCATAAGTAACCGACCCCTCTTAACTTGGCATAGAGGTAAAATAAATTAAAAATTTTTATTTTATTTAAAAATACATTATTTATTCTGATCATTCA